ACTCAAGTGTTGTAGGTAAGGTGGGAAAGACCAAACGGTGGTCATCTTCATCTTGATGGAACCATGTGGGGGTGCATCATATTCCACCATGGCCATCGGTTTGTCCAAAGGGAGGACGAAGTCGTCGAGGATCGGCGCGTCATCATAAATGGGACCTAGCACCAAATGAGAAGACACAATAGAGGTAGAGGTCAAGTTGTTAGAAATGCAAATGTCCTCACGAGACCTATCAACTATCTCTCTCTCTATGTGGTGGTTCACTCACTCCCTCGAAGTAGGTGCACTCAAAGTCACATATGGTGGAGTCACTCATCTCACTCAAGTGGTGGGGGTTGTGGCTCTCCTCACATGAAAAGTGGGGCAACTCGTCATATATGGGGCTAGTGGTGAAGTCACTCTCACTCTCAATATGGTGGCAAAAGTCACTCAAGTCATCATACGTCGCCGTGGTCGAGGTGAAATACTCAACCATCTCATCGCCGTCGCCATGGATGAAGGCCGAAGATGGCACATCATCACTCTCCTCCATGACCGAAGGGAAAATCCCATGCTCGATCATCTCATCACCGTCGCTGTTGATGAAGGCCGAAGATGGCACATCATCACTCTCGCCTCCTAAGATGGAAGCATCATCCTTGCTCGCCACCTTGTCGCTCGCCTCCAAAGCTTGGTCCTTGAGGGCCTCCGTAGTCGTACTCGTCGCCGCACCGTCTTGAAAAAGAGTCGTGGTAGACTCGGCACCATCAATGCCCCAAAGAGGGATGGCGGTGAAGTCGCACTTGGGAGCATCGTCTTGGAGCTCGTCGGGCTTGGACATCTTGGTGGTACTATCCTCATGCTCGTTCTCATGGAGCTTGGTCGCCGTGAAGTTTGCTTGGGGTGGAGAAGCCGTGGCCTTCATGAGTTCTTGTTCCGCCTTGAGAGCACCAATGTAGTAGTCGTCGATGGACTTGTAATTCTCGAGGAAGATGGTCTTGGAGATGTCGTTGTGTAAGCCCATCATGAAGTGGAACTTCATCCAAATGGGGTCGTCCACGCCGGCTCGTTGCAAGGCATGCTTCATCTCCTTGAAGTACGCGTCGATGGACTTGGATCCTTGGATGGTGTTCTCCAATTGGCGTTGAAGTTGTTTCGTGTAGGTTGGAGGTACAAACTCTCGCCGCAAAGCTCTCTTCGTCTTGGGCCAACTCGTCTTGTAGCTCTCCGAAGGTGTGTGAAGCCACCATGTCGAGGCATAGTCGTGGAAGTTTCTTGTGGCGCACTTCACTTGATCTTCGGAAGGAACTTGATGTAGCTTGAGGTAGTCGTCCATCAAACGCTCCCACTCGAGATAGTCCTCGGGTTCTTGAGTCCCATAGAAAGGAATCGCGTGCTCGATGTCGAGGTCGTAGTAGCTCGTGGAAGTCGCGGACTTGAGCTTGGGGAGCTTCTCTTGAGCGTAGTCTTGAGGTTCTTGTTGGCGAAGATGCCGTATGTCCATAGGCGAAGATGCCTTGAAGTCGCTTGGGAAGATGCCAAGGGAGATGGTGAAGTCGTTGAGCGGTTGTTGGTGTTGAGCTCTTGACCTTCACGTTCTTGTTGGTGATGGTGTCGATGCCGATGTGATCTTGCCATAGATGGTAGCTCGGAAGCATGTGCTCTTGAGCGTCTTCTCGAAGATGAGGAAGATCGCTTGTAGGACTTGTTGAGGGCTTTGATCTCCTCCATTTGAGCTTGCATCTTGGCGTCGTAGTTGTTTTCCGTGGCATCGAACTCGTCGTTGTTGTTGTAGACCGAAGGTGAAATGCCTTGCCTATCCATCACAAGACTCGAGTAGAGGTGAGTAGGAAATGAGATAAACAATACCAAGTTACCTTTTCCCAAAGTTGAGGATGTATCCCGTTTCACTCAATGTGAGATGAAAGAATAGTGGAATTGGTACCGGACTTGTTCACTCACACCTATCAAGTAAAGCTTATGGTGTAGCTCGGTGAGGATAGTGGCACAAAAATTTGATGCAAAATGTTAGCAAGAGTCAATAATGTTGAAAGAGATTCACAAATTCGCAAGTGAAACAAATGGACCAATAGCAATATGTAGCACACGGAAACACACACACGGATAGATAAATGGGGTCGTGCAACCAAGGAATGAGCATAAAATATGGAATCCACGGAAAACGCTCGTGTTGCACAACTCAAGAGAGACGCTAGCACGATTGCTCTATAGACGGATACGACACTTGTGCACAACCTATAAGATGCAAAATGGATAAACTTTCTATTCCAAGTATGCTATGCATGTATGGTTCCCGGTGTTTCTCTCAAGATGATCCAAGATGATCGGATATGAAAATCTTATGTGCAATGTGGTATGATGCTATGGCACTTGCTTACAAGCTTCTTTGCTCTCTTTCTTTTGCTTAAAAGCTTTATTTCTCTTTTTTTTTTCTATGGCCACTTTTGCACAATGCACAAACCAAGATAGCAATTGTGTATATGCGGGAACAAACTTGTGACACAAGATATGATACCAATATATGTACCACGATGATATGGTATGTATGCTATGGGAAGTATGATCACTAATGTGCACAAGTAACGTTGCCGGCAATACTCAAATGGCTAGTCTCGATAGGCAAGTAACGCAAAATGGGCTAAGGGTTAACAATGCAATTGCAAGTGTAATATACAATGGCGTCGTCGAGGTTACCGTCCTTTGCAATGATGAGTGGCGGTGTTCGTGATGTAGATACCAAGATGATGGAGACTCGTCCCTAAGTAGCCGAAACACCTTAGAAAATGGAAAAACCGCGAACTCAAAATCTCAAACGTCAAATGTCAAAATGGTGGTAGCGTAGGGCGGTGGTGGTTTGCACTTGGCAATGTGGGGTGGAATGATGGGCTATACACGTGTCGGAGTTGGAGTTGTCGTCCCTAAGTAGCCGAAACACCTTAGGAGACACAAGCCACAACTCAAACAAAATTAGGTTAAGTTGGGGGTGGCGGAAGTGTATGGTGGGTAAGCCTATGCGGAAGTGGTGGTGGTGGTTGATGAAGAAGCAATCGTCCCTAAGTAGCCGAAACACCTTAGGAGACTTGAATCACTACTCAAGCAACCACTAATGCTATATGGATCACAATGGGTTAGGTTGCGGAAGTCGGTGGTGGCTATGCGGATGATGTGGTGGAAGACCTAGGCAAACTTGCCAATTTCCCAAAATTTTGATGGAGTCAAATGATGTTGGTGGTATTTTTGTGGTATGGGGGATGTCAATAGCTTCAAAACAAGCTAAAGAACGTCAAAAACGGACTCCGGATGAATTAGTTATGGGCAAAACGGTGAAACTCGGAACGCTGAAACTGGGAGGGGCGGTAGTACCGCTCGGATGGGCGGTTGTACCGCTCGAGGTACTCAGCGGTAGTACCGCTCGGAGGGGCGGAAGTACCGCTCGTGTCGGGAATTTTCGCAGATCGACTTGGGGCGCGATTTTGGGGCGGAAATGGATGATTTTGGGGCCAAAATTGGATGGATTTCGTGGATGAGAAGAGGGGAAACTTGGAGGAATGCTAGATCCACTTGAAACCAAGCAAATCCATAGATCAAAATCAACAAAACATCATCAAACCAACAAATCACAAAAAAATTTGGGGGCTATTTTTGGTGGGGATTTTCGGATTTAGGACGAAAACAACAAAATCAAGCTAGAAAACACGGGGTAGGGGCTCCAAAAACGTGATCAACGTGGCTCATGATACCAAGATGATGTAGGGTGGAACCCTATGGTGATGATCTTTCACGTTTGGAGTGGGATCCCTCGAAGAACACGACGAACACGGGGAAGAACGGGGGAGAAATCACAAGGGAAAACACTCAAGAATAAGTCCAATCACACATCCACTAGACAATCAAACACACAAGATCCACAAGGTACATGAACAACAAAGAAAAAGATACAAGGTAGAGTTCATCCCAAATCCAAAGGAGATGGGGGCTTGAATCCTAGAAGGATCTTCCCACAAAGGGGGTCTTGAATCCCTCGGGATCTTCTCACATGGAAGTCTTGAACTCCATGGGAGTGGTAGTCTCTCTCTCTCAAGAGAAGAGGTAGGAGCAAAGCTCACCTAAGAATGAGCTATCATATTTGCTAACCCTAGTACGGAGCTAAGGGACAAGTATATATAGTCCAAGGGGTAAGTGGGGGGATACATGGGGTGAAACCCCTCTCACTGCGCATAGGCAGGGCGGTTGTACCGGATGTGCGAGCGGTTGTACCGCTAGGAGCTCAGGAACCGATTTCTGGAGGTGCACGCGAAGGTAGGGAGCGGTTGTACCGGAGGTAGGACCGGTTGTACCGGTCTAGTCACAGCTGGGGGAAGAACCGGGGCTGTACCGGTCTTGCACCGCTTGAATACAGAAGCTGGGCCGGTAGTTGGGCGGTAGTCGAGCGGTTGTACCACCGGTGTGCCTTCAGCGGTAGTACCGCCTGGTGTGGGCGGTAGTACCGCTCGCTCCAGACAGAGCGGGTCCTGTTCTTCCTTCTCTTCCATGCTTCCCTCGCGGATGGTGCAGGTGTTCCTTGGCGCTTGTACTCCTCCTCGTCGTCCGTGAAGCTCCGGCAATACCTATGCATGCACACGAGTGGAGTGTCAAGTAGTATACCATCCTCGAAGGGGTCAAGTGAACACGTGTAAAGGAGAAGATTCACCTTTATGTATGAGAAGTAGAGGTCGCACGTGTCACTTGCCAAACGGACTCTTGACATGGTGATGACCGTAGGATGCTCCGCATCAGATATGCGCTTGTATATGTTGATATAAACAGCAAGAGGGCATTATATTGTACCAGAAAGCGCCAAAGAAGTACAGATTGCAGCACAAGCGATGGATCGTAATAGTCGAGAAAATAAGGCTGCGCCGGGGCAAGAACTAACTACTTTACCCGGTAAAAAGAAATGCTTTGCTTGTAAAGAGACGTCACACAATTTGGATCAATGCAGGATAAAAGACAAACTGGGTACTATGGCCCAGCTATTTGGACATTCTACAAGGTTCCCGTTCTACATGATTCAACCTTCAAAGGAAGTTGTTGAAAAAGAAAAATTCTATCATCACTGCCTGCTGATCACATCTAATGCCTGTAACTTGGACCCGGCAAGAGTGAAAACTGAACTAAACAAGTTCTGGAAGCTGACTGATGACTGGGATATAAAGAGAGAAGGTAGGCAGAATTTCGTAGCATCCTTCAACTCAGAGGATGACCTACTAAGCTGTTTAAAGCCTCCCAATGTAGAAACATTTCTGGGTGAAAAGGAGGTCAATTTCACTGTAGCAAGGTGGGATGAAGGTGATGGGGAAAAGCTTGACTTGATCAGAGAGTGGCTTTTGGTCTATGGGGTCCCAGGTGCATATAGAAACTGGAAGGAGCTATATCAAGTTGCATCTGCAGTTGGAGTTTTGCTTGAGGTGGATGAGGAAAGTTTGGAAAGTGGAGATAAGGAGCCTATTAGGTTAAGGATAGCATTGGGAAGTCTTGTTGGTGCTCCTTTCTCTTGCCACTTTGTGTTTGGATGGTCTTCTAGACTAGTCGAGTTCATGATTGGAGACAAAGTAAAAAGGATAGAAGGGCAATGGAAGGAAGTAGAAGAACGGAATGTTAGCGGCATGAAGGAATATGTAGATATAAGAGAAGAAGGTATTGAGGTACCTCCAGAAACACCGAACAAAGGAATGGATTTCTTAGGCAATTATTCTTTGGCTTTTGGAAGTTGCTCAGGCAAGGAACGTAAAGAAGAACTGAAGACAACAGAAAGAGCTACATTGCTGGAAGTGGCGAAGTTCATTGCAGAGTTGAGAGCTGATGAAGAGATCACGGAAAACAGCGCAAGTGCTATGGCAGCCAGCACAACAAACTCAAAGAAAGCAGCAAAAGGGGGGCAATCCCCAAGTGAAAGCTCAGCAAGAGGTGATCATATGTCGTGTTTGGAAGATTGTTCCGACAAGGATCATCAAAAGAAACTGAAGACTGACATGGCTACATTACTGCAAGTGTCGAAGTTCACTGAAGACTTAAGAACTGATGGAGAGATCAAAGAAAACAATGCAAGTGCTTTAGTGGGCACCGGAACGAACTCTGAGAGAGCTACAGAAGACATTCCAAAAGCTGAAGGTTGGCAATCCATAAGCGGAAGTTCAACTTCAACGAGCTTCATTGAAAGGGTCCCCAGAGGTGAGTGAAAACTGCGCATTTGCGAGCTTTGATGTGCTATATTTATCAAATATGCTATGAGAAATTCCTTTCCAAATCAAATCAAAAGGAAAATACTTACAAGAGCATGGGCTAAAATTGTTTTCGTAAATGGAAATAAATGAATTCTCAGTTCTTGAAAAAGATAATTAAAAATATCATGTATGTTGTGAATTTTCTTGGCACAATACCAATTGGTTGACACTTTGTTTGCTGACACCATTTCTGATCTGCCCGTGAAGGTATGCACAAGCCACCTATAAAAAATGTGTACACAAGGAGAGATCGGAAGCAAAAAGAATCGACAGAAGGTTCCACTTTGTTTGCTGACATCAGTTCTAACAGTGCCCATGAAGGCATACAGAAGCCACCTATAAAAATTGTATTCGAGAGAAGAAGTGATCCCAAGCAAAAAGGATCCACAGGGGGGCAACTTGCTTCAAAGGAACTGAACAAAGGAATGAACCCAGGGAGCAGCAGTCACGCCACAAGGATTGCAACCTTAACATGCAATATGTTGGACTCAAAATTTTTATTAGAGAAGCAACATGAGAAAGAAATGAAAATGGCAGAAACAGCTTTACTAGGAAAAGGACCAGAGTCGACTGAAGAATTTGGAGATGGAGAGAATAAAGACAACAACGTAAGGACCAGTACAGCGGACTATACGAGAAACAAAACAGCAGCGAAGACTCTGGGAGCTGAAGGAGCACAATCTATCAAGGGAAGTTCAGCGTGCATGATTAGAGTAACTCAAACAAAAGGTGAGTCAAAATCCTATGTGCATAAAATTGTTATACTTGTATACCTTCAAATCTGTTCTGAACTAAGTCTTCTATCACAATTTAGAAGGAAAACACCCAAATGGCATTTGACTACCAGTCTCTTTAGAAAATGAAAAGCAAACTGATTTTCAGTTTTTGAGTGACACAATTAGGAATATAAGAGGTGTGTACACCAACACGTGGACTGTAGAGAGCGTGCAAGATGACAGCCTTACTAATTGTGGTGGGCCATGCGTTTACATGATCATAAGGAAACCATCTTACATTACTGCTTTACAAAAAAGCGTACATAAGATAAGAATATGAACTTGAACAAAAGAAGGTTAAAACAGATGGAATACAAAAACAACTAGGGAGATGTGAGATGAGTTATGCGGAAAACAGTAACTGCTTTACTAATTTGAGGAGGGAACATTACCCTGATGGACAAAATTCCTGTTTAGAAATGAGAAGAGTTTGATTATTGAAAACTATGTTTTACTGTCTTCAACCATTTTATATACTCCCTCCGTTCATAATATAAGAACGTTTTTGACACTAGTGTCAAAAACGTTCTTATATTATGGGACAGAGGGAGTATTGATTAATTTCTGATCCAACGCATTGATGCTTTTTGAGAACATTGATTTTGATATGGTTGTGTTTAAAAAGTAAAATAGGAGTTTAGTTCCAACCCTTTTGCTATAAAAGTTCGGCAACGTTTCTGATGGAACAGGAGAAACATCTCTGCTTTATTGAAGTTTTGGGTTAGAAAATATTTTGCTAATATGTACTTTGTTTGCACTGTCCCTGAAGGTGTTGACGTGGCTGCAACGGTACTAGAAGGAGCTCGGTTTGATGGAAAGCAGCCTGTTTCCAAGATGACTACGCGGTATGTGATCTGATAGTTTACTTCTGTCTGTTTGTTTCTCGTCTTGTCTTACTGTTTCATTTATATTTATGGGTATTTGATTACTTTCAACATGACATGGTATAGGCTAACTCAATTTTATGAGGAGTTCAACACATATAATGAAATCCATGACAGTTTCGTTGAGATGGGTCTTCGAGAAAATCTGCTGAAAGGAATATATGCATATGGTAATTCCTACTTTATTTGTTAATATGTTGAGATGCTTATTTGCGTATACAATTATTTCTTGACTCTGACATGTATTATAGTGAAGTCTTAATGTGATTTTTCTTGAAGGTCTGGCGATGCCTTCTGCAATCCATCGACGAGGAATTGTCCCATTCTGCAAGGGTCTGGATGTTATCCAGCAGTCACTGTCTGGAACAACTGTGACACTTGCCTGTGGAGTTCTCCAGCGACTCGATTATGGATCCACGGAATGCCAAGCTTTGGTTCTTGTACCAACGCGTGACTTGGCACAGGAGACCGAGAAAGTTATTGGAGCACTTGGTCAGTGGCTAGGTGTCAAAGCTCATGCTTGTCTTGGAGGAACTAGTATTCGTGAGGAGAAGCAAATATCGTCGAGCAGCAATCAGGTTATTGTCGCCACTCCTGGCCGCGCTCTTAACATGCTGACAAGACGAGCACTTTGTCCAGATAACATCAGAATGTTCGTCTTGGATGAAGCTGATGAAATACTCGCAGGAGGTTTGAAGAACCAGGTTGGTTTTGCATCCTCATACCAGCTCAGTTATATAGTGATCACAATGGTTGCAGAACTTCTCTCGTACTACTTATTCTTTTTATTTGAAACGATAAAAATAGATCTTGTTCAGTTCTATGGTGGCATCTATTTTCGTAACTTCTGACCATTCATCTTTCTTGCAGATCTACGATATTATCCAGCTTCTCCCAGCCAAAATCCTGTTTGCTGTATTCTCTACCGCCATGTCCAATGAAGCTCTTGAACTTTGCCGGAAGTGCATGAATAAGCCTATGAAGGTCATAGTGCCGAAAGATGAAGAACTTGAGGGTTTTAGTGTTAAGCAGTTCTATGTTAAAGCTGAGAATGAAGAATCGAAGTTTCAAAAATTATGTGATCTTTTTGACACCATGGCCGTCATGCAAAACATCATCTTTGTCAACGCACGTCGGAAGGTCAAGCCACTGACCGAAAAGATCAGAGGCAGGGGGTACACTGTCTCGGCAAGCCATGGTGGTATGGACCAGCACTCCAGAGATGCTGCCGTCCAGGATCTCCAGTCGGGATCATCCCGTGTCCTCGTCACCACCGACCTTCATGGCGCTGATGCATTGCAGGTCCCTGTTGTCATCAACTATGATCTGCCAGCACAACCAGTACAATACCTTCGTAATGTTCGACGAAGTGGACATCCTGGAGGGATTGGTGTAGCTATCAGCTTTGTTGCTCGTGCTGATGAGCGTGTTCTGTCTGGCATCCAAAGGTTCTGCAATACTCAGATGGCGGAGTTACCCTCCAACGTCGCTGACCTCTTGTGAGCAATTGTGTAGTTGGATATGGTGCACAGATGGCTATCTAGACTTCTTTTTTCTATCGTTGGCCTGGAGAGCTGCGCAACAGCTGCATTTTGTTGAATTGTGGGAATCGTCTTGTGGGATTGAAACTTGTTGAGTTCTCCGGTATTATGTCATGGTGGTTCGAAGCTGAATTGAATGTGGTGCAAATAGTTGTTTGAAATGTTTTATTGGTTCATCTGTTGTTTACTATTGTTATATTGTGCCCCGTGCCGCTCCCGCGAGCGGCCCGGGCGGAACCCTAGTTCGCTGCCGCCGCTCCCCTTTCTCGCCTCCTCCCTCCTCGCCGCCGCCAGGGGACGGCGCTGGGCAAAGCCCGCGCGTGCGTCGGTGGCGGCGGGGCTCTTCCCCTCTCGGGAGGCTCCTGGGCGGCGCGGGACGGCCGGCCCTCGCGGCGGCGCTTGGCTCGGCGGCAGCGTGCGTCGGGCCGCCGGCGGATCTGGGCGGCGTGGCTCCCTTGCTTGGTGGCGCCGCGGCGCTGGCGGCGGCGTGGTCTGCGCGGGGCGGCGAGGCGCGGGCTACCCCTCCTCCCGATCTGATGGTGCCGTGGTGGCGCCGGCGCTCGGGCATGCGGCGGGGCCTGCACGGGTCGGCGGCGCGTGACCTGATGGCTCCACGGTGGTGCCAGTGCTCGGGCGGCGGTTGGCTTCGATGTTCTGTGTGCGATTCCGGGATCCCACGATCCGGATCTGGCGCGGGTTGGGAGGTTGTTGGCTCCTCTTGGTGGTTGGTGCGCGGGGCTCGCAGTGGGGTGTGTGCTGGCGACGGTCGTCTGGAGCCTGGCGTAGGGCGCAGCAGGCTGGTGGGAGTTGGTGGTGCTCCGGCACCGTCTGTGGCGCCGGCGCCGCGAGGCCCTGCTAGGAAGGGTCCTGGCGGGCAGCGGGCGCTCGGCTGCAGCCGTGTGAGGCGCGCGGTGATGACTCGACGGAGCTGTTGCCGGAGAGTGGTTCGAGGTGCGGATCAGACTGGATCTGGTGGCAGTCCCCTGGTGCGGGCGAAGGCCGTCGTGGTGGTTCTGGTCCTTGCACCGCTCGGCAGATGCTGCGGTTCTTCATTTGTGCTGCAGGCGGTGGCTTGAGGCGTCCTCCCTCGACAGTGAGGTTGGAGTGGTTCTCGTTGGTGTGGCTTTGATGGCATGTTGCTGCAACGTCGGCGGTGCGAGGCATCGGTCAGGGCTGGCCATGATCTTGGCGGCGTGGAGATGTGCAGCGCTACGGATGAAAATCCTGTTCGTCTTTGGTCGGACCGGCGACGATGGCATCCGTGGATGTCATTTCCCTTCCTGGAGGCGTCGCCGTTTGTGTTGCCATTTGCCTCGTTGCCCGGTGGCTGCAATTGTCTCCGGGGCGAAAGCCTTGATTCGCAGAACCGGCATGATGGCTGTGTCTTTGACGCCGTTCCTCTGTTGAGAGCATTGTGCTATGAGACGAGAGGCCCTTTGATGCACTCCTCCGGTGTTCGCGACTGCCCGGATCGCTCCTCTCAGGCGCTATGTACTGTCTTCGCTGGTTTTATCCAAGTAAGCTGGAGTTGCTGTTCTTCGGAGATGATCGGTGTTGGTCGAGACACGGCGAGGTTCGCGGTTTTGGGTAGGCTCTTTGGGGTCGTAGTTGTGGGTGTGTGTGTGTGGTGTGTGTGTTGTCTTTGGTGTTGCTACGCTCGTTGTTCGCAGTGAGTGGTAGACTTCGTTGTATGTTTGTTCTTCTCTCCTATAAAGTTAAGGTACGCAATTTGCGTACTCTTAAAAAAACTATGTTATATTGTGTTGGTGCACACATGCTGCTAGTGAGCAACGTTATGCACACAGGTTACAAAATCCTTAAGCCAGGACAATAATGCAGGTCAGACTTGGATTGAACTTTGGACAAGATTACATAGCAAGTTACCTTTGCGTTTGAATGTGTAGGTCACCTATAATATCAAAGAATGTTCTACTGAATGAATCTGATGTTAGTACCACAATTTGCAGGCAATAACAACTACTGGTGGGTACCATGATCTTTCTGTTCTGTATTGTAAAGGCAACACCAACGCTGTGCATCAAACTGCTCGCAAACTTTTGGACAGCGCAGTCTAGACACTTTTTGACATTCAATGCCGTGCATCAAACGCTCGACGCCTCGGACCCAGCCAAAAGTGAAGTGGAGCCGACACATGTGGACAATTCCACCACTGTCTCCATGCAAAAGGCCGCCCTTTTCCTACTCTCCCTTTCACTGTCACGTCGGAGCCGGAGGGCCCTTTGGTGGTGGTTGCCCGCAAGACCAGCACCGCAACACGTGACACCCACCGCCAAAACAGAATAAGAGGGAGGACGCTTTGGTGGAGGCCAGTCATCGAGTACCTCCTCCACCAAAGCGTGTGAACCGGCGGGTGCCAGCCATGCAATCGCCGCTCCTGCAGCCGCCACCGCTCTGCCTAGGGTAACTGTATCCACCATACTACTACTAAGCCCAGCACACCTTCATGGAGCCTCAGTCACAGTCGTCAACGCTTGTCCTTCTGTGGATGTTGGCTCCCTCGTCCTTCGGTGCCCAGTCTCTGTTTGCTGGAATGTCTCAACCGGGCGCGACAGTGGATGAGGAGGAGGCAATGATGAACACGATTCACGACAACAACGGCCACAAAGACGGGAAATGGAGGACTCCTGGCCGGAGCCGGACACCCAACAGATGGATACCTAGATACCAAACACCCACAAGCACACTCAACGGCAGACGACGACCAGTCAGATGGTGATCCAGACGACTTCTGGGCGTTTGGTGCAGAACCAAAGAAGAAGAGGGGAGAAAATTCAACATGAAGGAGGATGGATTGTTGGTTGATGTGTGGTTGTCCACAAGCACCGATCCAATTCATGGCACGGAGCAAAGAGACAAAACCATTTCGATAAGTGTGCGTGTTTGGTTCTATGAGCAAAGGCACTATGATCCGTATCGCAAGGAGAAAATATGTGAGCATATTTCGAAATCACTCACCAAATGCATATGCTCCGTGAGTTGGTATTTGGCTGGATATGCTATGCCAAGTATCTAGTAGTGGTTTCTTCCCCGTACGCTATGCATTTATTGTCTGATTTGTATGTATTTTTGATTTTCCAACTAACACACAGTGTTAGCTCTAGGTTAACTTTCTTTTAGGTACTTCCTAGGATTTTCTTTGTACGAAACCCCAAAAATATAAATGGGCGTACTTTCCCATGAAGATGCTACATTTTGTTGGTCTTATTTATGGGATAGCGAATCCATTTTTGTGTCCACGTAATTGTCAGGCTGGACTTGCCGGGTGTCGGTTTCAAAATCGGCAGACCTCGGGGTAGGGGGTCCCGAGCTGTGGATCTCGGATCGGTGGTAACATGAACAAGGGAGATGATGTTTACCCAGGTTCGGGCCCTCTTGATGGAGGTAAACCCTACATCCTGCTCTTGTTTATATTGATAGTGATGTATCGAGTACAAGCTTGATCTACCTCGAGATCGTAAGTCGTGTTCTAACCCTAGGGTTAGGAGAATGTAATTGTGTTTCGGTCCCCTCTACGGGCTAGACCCTTTGGCTTATATACACGCCAAGTAGGGCATCTAGGGTTACATGGTCGGTATCTGGGGGAGCGCATGGAGGCGGTAGGAGATGGCTTGGAGTATACGTCAACTCTTCGACATATGTAGTCTTGATTACGTCTAGGTGTGTAGCTTCCGGAGTCCATCCGATAGAGAATGATGCCAACATGCCCAACCCGAGGACTACGGGCCAACTTGGTTGACACCCCTAAGTCTAGGACGCCGTCAATAGCCCCCGAACTAGTCTTCTATGCCGAGGACGACTTCCTTGATGTAGACAACTTTGGATTTGAAGTCCTTGGCTCGACAGACGAGTTCCCCTTCTTTGGCGATTCGAGATACCTTTCCTCTAAAGGTCACCATGGACCACCCCTCAAAGGAGTGACGTCCCTTGATCGTGACCTAGCAGAACTCACTTAGCGTCCAAAGATGCGAGGTTACTTAACCAAGAAGGCCTGCCGCGTAGGTGTGAACAATGCTTTCTAGCCTGACAACTTTATCAAAGTGGCACCACCCATGACTGGATGGACAGTTACTGCCCACCCGAATCGCGGCCCGAGGCAATCCTCTTATTGGCACATCCCATCGAAATGGAGACCGTGCTCATTTTTTTAGGGATATCATTAAGATTTTGTTTCTGCCCATATGCATAACGACATCTTTTGCGGGGAGTGATTTCAACGGCGCGTCAGAGGGACTCTTGGCCTTTTATCAACCCATATAAGAGTAACGAGATAGCGACGAAAAAAGCACTTTCTCATTCCTCCTTGTCTGCCGCCTCTTGAACTTCAGCGATCAGATCCAATCCCAACCCCATCTTGCATAGCACATCCTAATCTCCGTCACCAGCAATGGCAGACACCAACCTCAAGGGGCACTGGGCTGGTTCCTCCATCACAGAGGGTACCGTCTTGGAGCTGCGCAGTGCGGGGTACATCCCCATCGAGGTTAACACCCAAGCACCAAACCCAAACCAGCGGGTGCCCGCTCCCAATCCAGGGGAGAGGGTGGTCTTCGTCCCCCACCTCATCAGAGACCAGGTGTTCCCATTGCACCCCTTCATGCGCGAGATCATGTTCTTCTACTAAAAGTGCAACTAATCCCCGGGTGGTTTTGGTAATTCATAACAATGTATATCTCATTGATCTAATATCCATTCAAGTTAAAGATTTCAGGATGTTCAATGATTGGCATGGCAAGTACTAGTGATTGTGGACCCCTCAAAATGCTAAGGACATGGATTGGCAAAAGCTCAAGACTATTAAAAGGGGATGAGGTTTCGATTATGACCTATTTGCTCAAGTGCTTAGTGATATTGCTCCAAACCTCAACCACTTTATCTATCCAAATCTGTCCAAAACCTAGCATTCAAACTCAGTCCCACCAAAACTTCCTTATCTAGACCCAC